GGAGACACCTTCAGGAAATAAGTTAAATGATGCAGAGCCTGATCATAATCTGAAGCAACCACTAATTTCCTCGAACCAACCTAGAGGATCCATTTGTGAAGGTCAAGCCCCACAAGAGAAGCTCAAGGCTCGGCCCGTCGGATGGATCATTCTAGATCTCTTAGTCAACATGTCTATATTCAATGTATAGTAGTGGTAGATTTCGGATCATTAGATTGTTTCGATCCTAACTCTCTATTGTGGTGGTAGGTGGGTTAGGATCTCCATATAAGGAGGATGTCTCATTGTGTATCCTTACCTCTCAACTTGTAAAGCATTGAGTAGCAATACAAGCATATATTCTCTCAAACTCTCTCGAGTATTCTTGAGTGTTCTTATCGTTGTTGCTCTTGTTCTTGTATTATTGCTTGGTTCGATCGTATTTTGTAGGAAGGAAGCTTGACTTAGCTTGTTCGAGAGGCGATCAAGTCTAAGGCCGCACGGAAGGAAGACTCCGAAAAAGTCATCCTCTAACAGTTGGTATTAGAGCTCTAAGCTCGAATCACTCGAAGAAGCATGTCGAAGAGCAGATCCGATGTGGAGATGGATATGTCCAAGGTCAACTTGGATTGTGAGAGCAAATCGAGGAATGACCGATCCAAAGATGTGGTAGCAGCGATGGAGAAATGGCTTTCAAAGATAGAGAATGTCGTGGTCGAGTTTGATCATCGACTTGAGGAGGATGTCCTTACGAAGGTAGGCTTTGAAACTGTGGTAGAAGAGCTTCAAGGCCAATTTCAGGGAGCCCTCAACTCCGTGCTAGATATCATCAAGCTGGATGTCCAAACCAAACTAGATCATTTCATGGTGGAGCTTACTGCACTTCGCGATGAAGTGAAAGATGTGAGGGGAGATTGGGCCTTGTGCAAAGAAGTTGTCTCAAACAAAATTCGGACTATGAAGAAACCCAAGGTGCTAGATACTTTCAAGCCCAAATCCTTTAATGGGAAGAGATTGGTGAATGAGCTGGACACGTTCTTGTGGAATATCAAAAGGTATTTCAAGTATCTCAAGATGGACGATGATGAGTCCAAGATTACTACAATGCTCTCATGTGGTGGTGCCGTCGATCCATGGAGATCGACCAAGGTACGTTTGCACTTAAGACTTAGGATGCATTTAAGAAGGATATTATGATGCATTTCTATCCAGAGAATGCCAAGTATGAGGCGAAAGAGAAGCTAAGATGGCTAAAGCAAATAGGGAGCGTGAAGAACTAGGTCACCACGTTCACCAATGTATTGTTCGAGGTGCATAGCATGGCAGATAAAGACAAGCTCATGTACTTCATGAGTGGCCTACAGAATTGGGCCATGTTGGAGTTACAAAATAGACATGTCCAAACCTTGTTAGAGGCAATTGCTACAACTGAGTCTCTTGTAGAGTTCAAGAAGAATGATCAAAGCGACTCCAAGTTCAAAGGAAAGAAAGGTAGCAGTGGATCCGATGAGGGAGACAACAAGCCAAAAGAGGGTAGCAAGTTAGGAGACAAGTCTGATCGTCACATGTCATCTGTGAAGAAGAATGACAAAGGTGATAATAGGAAGAACAAATTGAAGCTAGCTTGCTACTTGTGCCCACACATGATGCGGGATTGTCCGCGAAAGAAAACCTTGAATGCTATGAACCAAAATAAGGAAAAGGAGGCCGAGAGGGAAGCTAGAATGGGGGCCATTCACCGCTTCAATGCCTTACAGGCCAAAGTTCAAACTAAGGGAGTGATGTTCGTCGACGTCATGGTGGATGGTAAGACAACTCGTTGTCTGGTGGATACGAGTGCCTTGCACAAGTTCATGTCAGTGCAGAAGCAAAGAGACTTAAGTGTCGGGTCTCAAAGGAAGCAGTCAGTATAAAGACGGTGAATTCAACTGCCAATCCAATTGATGGAGTAGCTCGTGGCATGGAGCTTCAGATTGCTACTTAGAAGGGAGTGGCTGACTTCTCCGTGATCGATGAATGACTATGATGTCGTGCTAGGAATGAAGATCATGGACAAGGTAAATGCATTTCCTATTCCATTTTATAATAATATTTGCATAGCACATAGTGGAGTAATGTCATGCATAGTGCCAATGGTGAGGCAACAAGGCGAGTCAAAGCTTTTTGTCAGCCATGCAATTTTCCAAGTCTTAGAAGAAGGGTGAACCAACGTTCCTTGCAACTATGAAAATGGATACAATTGATAAAGAAGTTCAACCAGTCCCAAAAGCTGTGGAGGCAATCCTTAAGGAGTTTGCAAATGTCATGCCCAATGAGCTACCCAAAACCTTACCACCTAGGAGAGAGATGGATCATGCCATTGAGTTGGAACCATGTGCCAAGCTCCCTGCCAAAGCACAATATTAGATAGCACCTCCTGAGTTGGAGGAATTGAGGAAGTAGTTGAAGCAATTGCTGGACGCTGAGTATATCTAACAATCCAAAACCCCTTATGGTGCCCCAATTTTTTTCCATAACAAATGCGAAGGAACACTGAGGTTGTGCATCGACTACTGGGCGCTAAACAAGGTGACCATTAAAAAAAAGTATCTAATCCCTTTGATTGCAGATTTGTTTGATTAGTTGTGAGAAGCTAAGTACTTCACCAAGTTGAACCTACGCTCAAGGTACTATTAAGTGAGGATCGCATCTACACATGATATGGGTCTTATGAGTTCCTTATCATGCCATTCGGCTTGACCAACCCCTATAACCTTTTGCATTCTAATGAACAAGGTATTCCATCCTTTCTTGGACAAATTTGTTGTGGTTTACATCGATGATATTGTGGTGTATAGCAATTCCCTAGAGGAGCACCTCGAGCACTTGCAGAATGTGTTCCAAGTTCTGAGAGAGAACAAGCTATATTTGAATAAGGAGAAGTGCTCATTTGTCCAAGAATAGGTAAAGTTTCTTGGTCACAATATATGGGGTGAACAATTGTTCATGAATGAGGGCAAGGTGCGAGTCATTCAAGAATGGGAACCACTAACCAAGGTACCGGAGTTGCAGTCTTTCCTTGGATTGGTCAGCTATTATTGTGGGTTCATCAAAGGATATTCAGTCATTGCCACCCCCTTGACGAATTTGCTAAAGAAAAACAAGATGTGGCAGTGGACGCCTCCATGCTAGCATGCCTTCGACGAGTTGAAGAGGACACTTATGAAGGAACCAGTGTTGAGACTTCCCAATCTTAGCAAACCTTTTGACGTACATACTGATGCATCTGATATTGCTATTGGTGGTGTACTCATGCAAGATGGACACCCATTGGCTTTCGAGAGCCGAAAGCTCAATGACATCGAGCGGAGGTATACCGTTCAAGAGAAGGAGATGACAGCCGTAGTGCACTACTTGCAGACTTGGAGGCACTACCTACTTGGTTCTCAGTTCGTGGTCAAGACTGACAATGTTGCCATAAGCTACTTTCAGTCTCAACAGAAGTTGTTACCCAAACATGCTAAGTGGCAAGACTTCCTGGCAGAGTTCGACTACAAATTTGAGTACAAGCAAAGGAAGACGAATGTTGTTGCCGATGCCTTAAGCTGGAAGGTCGCACTAGTAGCAAATGATATGATAAGGCTTGTTGCATGATCCCCAAGCCAAGAATCTGTTGGAGCTTGTCAAAAATGGGAAGACAAGACGATTTTAGCTTGATGATGGTGTTCTTTATGCAATAAGGAAGAGAATCTATATTCCAAGGTGGGACAATCTGAGGCGAGAGCTACTGAAGGAGTGTCATGACTCGAAGTAGGCGGGACATCCATGCACTCATCGAACTTTAAAATTGATAAGTGAAGCTTACTACTAGCCACAGATGCGGGAAGATATAGACACATTCGTACGGACTTGCCTTATATGCCAACAAGACAAGACATTGCAGAAGCAGCCGAGTGGGTTGTTAGAGCCACTTTGGTCAACACCCCTGGGTGTGGTCTATTTATTCCGATCTTTTTTACATGAATCGAGGAAGAGAGAGAAGGAAGATCGAAGGTTGAAGGATTTAGAAGCGAATATTCTCCTGCGAGATTATTTGCACAAATAAACTATGATGGACGTGAATCTAGTGATGTAGGTAGGAGACCTGAGCAGGGGATTTTGTTTAGTCATAGGAAAATAGGAAGGAGAGGGAAAGGAAATGGGTATTTATAGAATTAAAAATCCCCAAATTAGTGGGATTCCTTTAGCTTTTAGGAACGGACGGGCTTTTCTTTTTTTTCTTTTTCTTTTTTTTTCTTCTTTTTTTTTGAAAACGGACGGCTTAATATTATAATTAAACACTGGGCTTCACCATCCGCTGTTCGTGTCAGTTTAAGTGAAACTTGCTGTGATTATTTATGGGTTATGATTTTCCCACTTTTATTTCTATAACAGTAATATGAAAATAGAAATAAATATATATATATATATAAATAGAAGTATTCGGGTTTCATTCCTCACTAAATTTTTAATTGTTTTTATTGTTTTCGTGCCCAAAATTAATATCTAAAGAACCTATATTTGGTTGGTGTGCTATATTGGAACCCATTATTGATTATTCTTCTAGGTTTATGTCAATGATTCACGTTGTTAACAATTCTGCTGCTACATATGGGATTACCTATGATAATTAGTAACGTATGTGCTAATTGGTTTTTTTTATTTTTTATTTTTTATTGTAGATTTTATTTTTAGAATTAATAAAAAATAATATGAGTACTTATGTTCCATAAAAGTAGGACTTATTATATGATTTTGTTTTTATTTTATTTTTTTAATATAAAAAATGTGAATTTACCATATTATCCTTATTTAATTAATAATTTCAATTCTTAATACTTGAATTAACTAATGATATTTTCTAACATTGGCATCAAATTATCTGCTTCAGCCAGGCCATTCCAAGGCACACTCTGGTCAATTACACACAACTATAAAATAAAACTATCTGCCAAGGACAGAAAGACTGCTTCCATGGTGGCATCTGGGTGATTGCCTGTGTCTTCTGTGATGGTGCTGCTATTGAAGACCCAAATGAATGGTTCAGCTAGGCAAGCAGAGCTTTTATTAGTTTCATGGAGGGAACCCTTTAGGTTATTAGGATTTTTCATTGGTGGTGTGAGAACATACATGACCCCTCATTACAGAGACTCTTATCACTATACCTACTTGCTACAACACTGTAGAAGCACCAAATCAATAAAAAAACTGCATGCCCAGATAATCATCGGAGGTTTTGAGCAAAACCCATTTGTTGTTGCAAAGCTAGTTGGCAAGTATGTTGAGTGCAGTGAACCAAGCATGGAAACTGCACGGAAGGTGTTTGATAGGTTGTTGGAGAGAGACGTTTTTGTGTGGAACATGGTTATTCAGGGTTATGCAAATGCGGGGCCTTTTGTTGAAGCACTTAAAATGTATGATAGAATGAGGTTGAGTGGTGTGCCTGCAAACCAGTACACATACCCTTTTGTGCTCAAGGCTTGTGGTGCAATGAAAGATGGAAAGCATGGTCAGATTGTTCATGGACATGTTGTGAAATGCGGGCTTCATTCAGATTTGTTTGTTGGGAACGCTCTTATAGCCTTGTATTCTAAGTGCGAGGAAATTGAGATATCAAGAAGAGTGTTTGATGAAATCCCTTGGAAAGATTCTGTTAGTTGGAATTCCATGATTTCGGGGTATACGGCAAATGGATATCCGCATGAGGCTCTCGTGCTTTTCCGTGCTATGTTGCAAGATCATGCCACAAGCTTGCCTGATCATGCCACTCTTGTTTCCATTCTTCCAGCTTGTGTTCAAGCATCAGCCATCGAAGTGGGCTTTTGGATTCACTCTTACACTATAAAGTCAAGTGTGGAAGTTGATGCTGCTTTGGGCAGCGCTCTCATTTCTATGTACGCAAGTTGTGGCCGTGTAACCATTGCCAGAGTTATTTTTGATCAAATCAGCGAAAAAAACGTGGTGTTGTGGAGTGCAATGATGAGGTGTTATGGAATGCATGGACATGCAGATGAGGCACTCCAAATGTTTTCCCAGTTTGTGGAGTCCGGCTTACACCCAGATGGTGTTGTATTTTTGTGTTTGTTGTCCACTTGTAGTCACTTAGGGATGGTTACGAAAGGCCTAGAACTTTTCGAGGAAATGGGAGATTATGGAGTAGAGAAAAATGAGAAACATTATGCTTGTGTAGTAGACCTTCTGGGAAGAGCTGGGTTACTTCACCAGGCGCTCAAGCTTATTGAGAGCATGCCCATCCAGGCAGGGAAAGATGTATATGGTGCCTTACTTGGAGCTTGTAGAATACATAATAACATAGAGCTCGCCGAAGAAGCTGCAGAGAAGTTGTTTGTTTTGGACCCTGAAAATGCTGGGAGGTATATTCTTCTGGCCAGCATGTATGAAGATGCATGTAGATGGGAGGATGCAGCTAGAGTGAGGAAGCTACTCAGAGACAAGAACATCAAGAAGCCAACCGGAAGTAGTTCAATTGAGATGGACTGCACATACCACACATTTGGAGCAGATGATGAGTCTCACCCATATACAGACCAGATTTTCAACACATTGGAGAGATTGGATAGGATAATTGAAGACCAAACAGTAGTGGTTTAATGGGATTGTTGTGCCTCAGAAGAAGTGGAAGGTGCAAATACTTTGGACTGTTAGTCCAGTACCTTGTAAAGAAAATTTGCTTATAATGGTCCGTCACTGTTAGAGCAATTGTGCTGGATACCCCGACTCTTGTGCCTTGCTGTACTACAAGTTTTCACTTCTCATTTTTGTATTAACTTGATTCCCTTTGCAAATTGAAGGAATCAGAACTGGATCTAATTTACTCCGAAATTCAGGAAGACAAAACCGACTTCATTGTGTGCAAACTAATTGAAAAATGAATTAGAACTGGATCAGATTCACTCGCCACTTCGGGAATGTTGACAAAAGGAATTCTCATAATAATAACCTTGCTGAACTCCATCTCTAATTTGAAGCTATTCTGTTATTTCTCATGAGTATTGGACAATGAGAGAGTAATTTGGAGCTAGAATGAACAGAGGAGGCTGTTTCAAGAGCTGGAATTTGGAAGAGAGTAGCAGAAAAGCACAGGTCACAAGTTCTAGTGATTTAAAGTAACCAAATATTTAATAGTTTATTAAAAACAGAAGCAGCATTACACATTTGGGTTAGAAAACTGTACAATCTGGTGCAAACCCATATTTGGGAGACAATGATAGAAAGCAGACATTCTAGATATACACAATCTTATATACACATGAATCACTTTGTCAGTTATACGGTAAAAACCCTAAGACGGCTGCGGATTGGCTGGCGGCATATTGGACAGTTGGACAATCTTGGTCCACAATCTCTGCAAGACTGCAACGAAACAATAGTTAATGACATGTAAAAGAGCAAGGAACAAAGGCAAAGGTTCTTCTAATGCAGCTCACCATGTGTCCACAGCCAAAGGCTAGGTCCTTATTGTTAGTCAGACAGACTGGGCAGGCCTGCATTCAAATTGAAAAGAAGATAAATCAGTAATCTCACATGAAACCCCTAAATTGAGAGCTTTGCCAATCGGATCTTTAAACAAAGATGATTCAGAATGGCAAAGCCAACAAACTACAATAACTTCAGATTGGGCAAGATGTGTTGGAAATTAAACATCTTTCAGTATGGCTAGACCATCCTACCAATTTGTTCACAAGCATTATAAAGGATTTGTTACCCGAATTTCAACCATTGGATAGCTTCAACTGAGCAGGTAAACCTCTATTTCAGCCCTATTCCTAACTACTTCAGACTCATTTATGCATGTTCCACCTTTTTTTTCGTCAATATGTACCCCTTTCTGTTTTTTCATCAATATCATACTACACACAGAAACTGTAAGAACACAGGTAAGTTAACTGTACCATCTCGCTTCGGTCATCCCCCACGGCTGCTGAAACACCACTTGGTTCACGAGTTGGCGGTGCACGATGAGTGTAAGGAACTGGCGGAGGGCGTGGAACAATTTTCTTTGCTTTCCCTGTCGTACGTCTTTTTCCAGGTACAATATGATTTATGTTAAAAAAACCATGCAAGAGGCCAAGAGGCTAGTTCAATCAAAATGATATTTCTGTAGAAGGCACATTTGGGTTGGGACTACAATAGCAATGAAATATAACTCATTTTATTGCATTCCAATAACAACTTTGAAATCTTTAATAAAAATTCCTTATATTCACATCAGTGGTTATATCCTCATCTGAATTGTTGGTTGTCTAAATGTGTTCGAGTGGCTTGCAGAAATAAGTTTTCAGGCAATGCTAGCGAATCAGAAGGTACCAAGATTATAGAAAGTTCCCTACTCAGACAATGAAGAAAATTAAAATTAAAAGTTCATAGAAAATTTGGCTAACCATACCCAAGTATACCAAGTTCAACAGCTGCCTTATACTGGATTGGGATTTCCATGAGGGCAGCAAGAGCAAAAGCAGCTTCTTTCTCAGAAGGAGTTGAAGGTTTAGACATAATTTCAGTAAAGTTTACAAACTACAAACAAAAAGAATCTAATTAGTGAACCAATGTATGCTTAAAAACTCTCCATTTCAAATTAACTTAGTGCAACAATTATACCTGAAAATTATCAAATTCGCGCGCAGGGAGTTTGTCATCAAATTTCCTCATGTCTTCCCAGGGACCATCACCGACTCCAACAAGAACAATAGAGAGTGGATAGAAACTGCTTACATAAGTTTTTAACGTAAATTTTGTATGTTCAACTCAATATGCCTGCTATATTAGTGCAAGTAATGACTGATAAATTGACACATCTAGTGCCTTTTGTTATGACAACTGCATAAATATGCTTAATTTCCAGGTTCTACCTTGCATCTGCAATTGATCTGATTGTCTTCTCCTCCTGCGGACTCAATTCATTGTCGCTAGTATTGACACTTCTTGTGACCTTTACAGTTAAGGAAGCCGTATTTAGTAAAGATTGTTCACTCGGAGCAAAAGGAAAATGATTGTTCACATACATGGGAGAGGGAGGAGAGACAGAGAGAAAGCACTAGATTTAAACCTGGCCATCTGCAATGATAACTAATACATGGTATTGGCCACCACTTTTCTCCACAATATCCATTGCAGCCTCAATTACAGGTCCATAAGAAGTTGGCCCTTAAATACAACATATATGTATTAAGATGTAAATCTTATCAAAAGCCAAATTATAATTCATAAAGAACACAAAATGATAAGATTCAACCAACCTGATAGTCGCAAACTTGGAACTATTCTCTTGTAGCAGGCCAAAACTTCTTCAAAACCATGACAGGGTGAATGATCAGTGTGAAAGCTAAACACCTCTTGATCATGAGTGGTAGCTATAAAAAGAAGGTGGGAAAAGTTGAAGTCAATCCAGTGATCAAAATAGGAAATGAAAGAAAATTGTCCAGAGCTTCAACTGTTTGAGGGAGCAGGGCCTTACCATCACCAAAGCCAAAACAAGGAATTAAGTTGTCTTCATCAAATGGAGCCAAAGTTTTTCCTACTACGGAGATAGCCTTTTCATATGGATTAGGTTCATTGCCAATGGCATGCAGGCTCCGGTTGTTGAATGAAACTTTGCCTTCAGTTAAAACAACAGCAAATCAGCTTCAAAGATATACAAGTTACAATTATCTGTTTCGATTTTATGATTATATATATATATATATATATGAAAATTGCAGTTTTTCTGTACATCCATAAACCTGTCCATTCATTGCTTTTTGTAAAATCAATTCCAACAATCAGATTAGATGACTCTAGGCCTTCTTTTCTCAAGGCATCTGTCACCTGCAAAAGGAATGAGCCAAATACAACTTGTATTATGACAGTCCATTTAAGCAATCTTCATTACATAGTTCGAATGCACAAACTTATACTAATAATTATTCTTTTATTCAAATTTATATCAAGTATCTTGAACCTACATATTTTCTATAATACGGCTAACCGCATTTACAGATAACCAGTTTTGTATCAAGGCGGTCAAACCGGCAGTACATAAACTAGTCAAGGAACTTGTATGACTGTAAAAAATTTCAACAATTACGTTTTATTTTAGAAGCTTAAAACATGAAACACGTGAAGTGATAATGAGAGAAAGAAGAAACCACTCGTGTTTCACAATCTTACTTTGAATCTTGACATTCACATTCACAAGACCACCAGTGGGGTGGGCTTGTAGGACCACCTACAAAAGCAAGCCCTAGTCTGTGTGCTATTGCTAAATAAACCAAAACCAAAAGATGCCTTAGAAAGAAAAGAAAAAAAAAATCAGATTCTTGATTCTTCAATCAAATGAATGCAGACGCGTTGACGTCAGTAATGCAAATCTTTCTGTAAAGAAAAACACGTGCAACATATATGGTTACTATAACTATTTGATAACAACTAATAGCTAACCTAACATGTTAAATAAATTGAACATAGTCTTAGCCACATGGGTGTAGTTCTTTTTTTATGTAAAAAAATTATAAACAATCATACCATGCCATTCTTTCTCAACCAAAAAGAAAAACCATGTCATTATTCTAAAATAATTAAACTGAAAAATGAAATTTCAAAATCTTTTCGTATCAACGAGAAACGAGAGGTTTGAACAGAGGACCTTATATTATTTTTGTTGTTTTATTAGAAATTCTAAACAATTGACTTAAAGGTATCATATCAAACAGTAGTTCTAAGACAATCCCATACAATTAAATTAAAAAGCACTTTTCCAATTTGTTTGGACCCAAGTTTAAAGGACTCTCCAAGTCAACACTACCACAGCTTGACTAGAAGCTAGAAGGTGAGAGAATATCCAATTGGATAGCAACATACATGCCATCACTGAGACGTCCACCCACCCACTTACTAGAAAAGCTAAATTACTTTTAAGTAGACCCCAGTATGTTTTGTAAGTATGATTATTGGAGCAAGCAGACCACTTATATAAAAAGAAAATAAAAACGCTATAATGCCTTTGAGATCACCGACTGTTTTGGATTTTAGTTATCAATTTTGAATTGCTTGAGATGGGTCCACGCCTAACCACCATAAAATAGATCATAGCACCAAAACCACTGGCCAATAATTATGAAATCTTTTATTTTTTTTATTTTTTTTATAGCCCTAAGGATTTGTAATCGATTCCCTGATATCGCTTGTATAAAAAAGGCATTAGTCAATTTTTCGATAGGATGACATGTCTTTACTTCATTCACAGTGTGACGACTTTTTTTTTTATTTTTTTTATTTTTATAATTATGGATTAGCTTTCTTGATATATATTTTTTTTTCAAAACTCTCAGTCTTAATCCTAACTCATTTCTCTCACCGCTCACGGACTTGGTTAAGAATTTTTATTAGCCTTAAATACTATATTTCAGATGTCGAAGATGGTATTAAAATGTTTACCAACCAAAACTAACGGCCGCTACTACTATCATGTCTTTCTTTCAGTTTTCATTTTATTTTTATGAAAAATGAAAGCTATGACATTTCAAAGTTTGAACTTGAGGAAGAATTTGAGGAGAGAGAGAGAGAGAGAGAGAGAAAATATAGATTAATTTTGACTAGAGGCTGACATTGTTATTATTTATTCAATTATTTGTAATTCGATTTTCTGAGAAAAGTCCATCATAGCAACCTTACAGCTAAAACAAAACCCCTCAAAACAAAAACCAAAGGGATACCTCCAGGAGAAAAACAAAAC